AAGGGGCTACCTACAAATAAGGAACAAACAAACACACCACTAACTAACTAACTACCTACAGCAATTATTTACTTATACTTATATCCGTTTAGGGAACGCATATAAAGAAATCTCACATTTTTACCACCATGAGTCGTTGTAACGGATACACATAACTAAAGACATTTATCACTATTGACAATTTCTTGATATGTAGGTGACTAAAAGCATTCTCTATTCTGAAACAAGTGTATAAATTTTCCTTGTCCAAAATCACGGACACATAAAAAACACCCAATAATGTGAAAAAAATAAAATAAAATAGAGCCGCAGGTCAACATCAGTAATAACATGTGAAGAAGATAGGGAATAAAATCCAGGTTTGATGTTTACCATACAGATTTCACATTTTGTTTGTCGTGGTATAAATGTGTGCATGTTTATTCCGGCGACACACGTATCACCTGTAAACTGTAATTCTACCTTCAAAGCTCTTTCTCTCGTGCGCAAACAGATCGTGTGTTGGAAACGTGGGTGTTTGTGTGAGCTGTTTGTCAGTATAAGGTGGATACATGGGCAGATGAACTGAAGATCGCGTGCATGACGTCACAATCAGATCATGTCATGCGTATAAAGTTCAGAGCTCCGAGAATGAAATAGTTCACCTAAAAAGGAAGTTGTAAAAAATATACATTTATAATGCTAGCGATAAATGTGAATATTAAAAAAATCAGCTTAATTGCTTTTAGAACGCGAGTCATTCATTAGTTTTTGTAATATAAACGATAAAAAAAAACAGATATCTGCAATCATATAACTCGGGCCCTCTAGTGGCACAGCGGTATGTCTGCGGTTTTACAACGCTAGAATATTACAAACCAACAAACTGTCCCTGGAGCCCTCTAGTGGCACAGCGGTATGTCTGCGGACTTACAACGCTAGAAACCGGGTTTCGATACCCGTGGTGGGCAGAGCACAGATAGCCCTTGTGTAGCTTTGTGCATAATTAAAACAAACAAACACATAATTCGGGAAATGTTACAACAAAAACAACATTTTTAAACGGCGTTAATGTTTCAATGTTTTTAGGTATTCTATATTTAAGTGGGAATATGTTATTTGTAGTCATTTTAAGGTTCAAGTATACATCTCTAGAAATAAAAAAAAATCACAGATTTTCTTATTAATTCAACAGGTACTTACTTTTACCAAAAACATATACCTAATTATTACTTAAAACTAGGGATGCACGGCTATTAAAATTTGGCCGAATACCGAGTCCGGGTACCGGTCACTAACCTTCGGCCGAGTGTCAACCGGGACCGTGTTCTCCCTTGCCCCCCCTAAAAAAAACACAAAAAACAAACAACATACACAAAAATTAAAAACAAAACCATTGACGTTTATTACGTTTAACCGAATAATCACCAACAGAACATTTAAGTTTTACTTTCAATGCCTAGCCCCAACTTCTTAAATCCTAACCCTGATTGTTCTCTGAATCCCCCACTTTCAATTTTTGTTGCTCGGAGCACATCTTTTTTATAACTAAACCAATTATTGACTGTAACTTTGAGTACCGCGTCAGTTGCCACAAAGATTAGGGCTCAGATGTCGAGTATTGTCGGGTACCCATTAAAAAGATATACCTCAGATTTGTACAGAATTTTTGTCACGTGCTCAAACTAAACATTTTATTCTTGAATATTTTTTTCTCCCTCTAAATATATCAAAGTAATGTAGAAACCAAGAATAGCCTGGTATAATAAAGGGGGGGGGTAAACTAATTATGTGTTAAAATATCAAGAAGACACTGAAACAATGGCCAAGTTTCATGACATGCCAAACCTATCACTGTAAATGTATATGGGCAGTTTCTATAATTAGCTGAAACGATAATGGTTTAACATACCCTGTATTCAATCTCACCTAACTTCAGAACGTAAGACAGCTGAAAAATCCTAAAGTAATCGTATTAGAATGTTGTGTACTACTCATACTGGAAGAAAAACAACGTGACCGTTAGCTATGCAATTAATATATAATAACCGTACACGCTGTCGTTATATGGTTGGCTTTCAAATGAAACATCTCAATTTCACATATTCTATTTAATATTAACTTCTGATCAAAGCAAGCTACCTACATAGATCACAACAAAAATAACTCCGGAAGGAATATAGGTAATTGAATGCACTGCTCTTACGTATAATGATTAAAATTCATTTTTTCTTCTCTTGGGTACTCTCGCTGTTAAGACATTATCGCCATATTCCCAAAAACATCTCAGAAGGTTCGGTCAGCTTAGGAGACTTACGTTAGTCCTAAATCCACACACAAAGCTAACAATACAAAATAATATTTGTAATAAAATATATAATAATAAAAATTAAAAATAACATTGTTAATAAAAGTAAATTTTAAGAAAGAATACAGCAACCTACTCACATATTAAAGTACAATAGCTTTATTAGCAAACTTAAAGCATTACTACAGTACTCAGAAACCATTTACTGGTCTCATTCTCGAAAATGTACAATACACACAAATAACTGGTCATTATTACTTCTAAAGATTGAACTATATCACCCAGAAACAAATGCAGAGATTGAGTAGGCTATATTAAAATCATTTTGCAGCCCCATTATGTCGTTATGATCCATGTCGTGACATCCGGTCATGCTCTATCTGACAACCGTGCGTCTTGCAAATAGCTCTGCATTATAGTTTCCATTGCAAAATCTTCTGTCGTAAAACTGCAATGTCCAAAGCACACTCTTCCTCCACGCAAACTTTTCATAATCACATCTAGTGTACGAGGACAACGGTTTTCCAAAAAGTCGTTTCAACAGTTTAACCAAACAGAAATCCAAACGTGCTATTTTTAACGACTTGACTGGTACTTCTTCGTATGGAATACCATGAATAACTGTT